TGGCCCTGCGACCCGCCGCCTCCCCCTCTGCCTCGGTTTTGCCCCGGCGCTCCCCTCCCTGCCAGCGGGGCGGATTAGGGCTCCTCGCGGAACAGGCAACCGCAGTGGGTTAGCGGGATGGGCTTTGCGTTTTACCAAAAGAATGCCAGTTTGGCTTCAGTGGGCGAGCATCCCGCTTGGGGAGCCTCTCGCAAGTCTCCAGATGTTCCGCCAGCTTGCGAGGACTCCAAACCCGGAATTGCCCCTGAATTGGTGGCCCGGGTTGGCCTAAGAAGAGTGTCGCTCTGATTCAGTGTGGGGAGGAGGGGGGAGGAGACGGAGAAAACAAGGTTAATTCCCGGCCTGAAAACGGGATGGAGGAGAGCAACGAGCTTTGAATACGCCCATGCTCAGAACTTCGCGAAGAAGGATCTGCAGCCCTGATTGGAATAGAAAAATTAAACCTTTGTGGGGATTAATTTAAGTAGCTTCTCCTACAGCAGTGTTTCTCAGCCTTGGCAACTTTAAGATGGGTGGACTTCAGCTTCCAGAATTCCGCAGCCAGTGTGGACTGAGGAAGTCTGCAGTGTGTTGCCTGGGGAATTCTGGGAGTTGAAGTCCACACGTCTTAAAAGTTGCCAAGGTTGAAAAACACTGTCCTACAGCCTTTCCCTTCAGCTGCAGCCTGGGCTAGAAGCCCCCCACTTAGGAAATTCATGCCATATAGACATCTGCTGAATGTTGATAGGCTAAACAAAACACTTGTAATTAAATAAGCATACAGATGATTTAGTTTATTGATTACTGATCAAAGTCAAGATAAGGTCTGACTGTGTTTCCCAACCTTGGCAATTTTGAGATCTGTGGATTTCAACTCCCATAATTTCCCCATGCAATTACCATTATGATTTCTAAACCAGGGTTTATGCTTTAGTGTATTGTATGGGCCCAGGCAGCTGTGGCTTAGTCAACAAATCATGGTTTATATGTGTACCCATTGTGAGGCTCTCCAATTGTTCTCAGTCATGGCTCCTATGAGCCTCAACTAGCATGGCCAGTTATGAAGGCTGCAAGAAGATAAGAGTATAAGAGCATTAGGAAGACCATATGAGTGTTTAAAGGAGGGCTTTTCATTAAACTATCATTGCTAATCCACAGTCTCCTCCATGGCTTCCATCGTTCCCCGGACAGCTTCCCCAGGCACTGGGGTCTTCATCACTCGCCATGGTGCTTTTGTGGTCCGCTCAGATTTGGGTTATTTCCTTCAAACGCTCGACTTCTGCTCAGGACAAGATATCAAAGTACAGCCACTCCACCCTGCTTGCCGTGGAAAGGACCACTATGTGGGAGACCCCAGCAGTTCAACCATCTTTCTCCTCCATGGGGACTCCTTCTGCCAAGTGTCAGACCTGAACTCCGAGCCGCCCTCTGATGTCTTCCCATTGCATCCCAGCTGCCAAGAAGGAGACCAATATGCTTCCTGCGAGGGATGCTTTTTTATCTTCTTCCTGTCACGAGGGGTGGCCCTCTCCGTGGCTAATCTGGCCACTGGAGCCTTGATTAAGGAGATCCACCTGGAATCCACCCTTCTCGATGGGCTATACTATTATGGTGCTGATGCTGCCCGTCTAGTTTGCTTCAGGATGGATGAGGAGCAACACCTTTGTGGCACCAGTTTTGCTATCACCGCAGGACACAAGGAGTCCTTTGTGATCCACCCAGACGTGGTCTCTTTCCTCCCAGGTGGACTGTCCCTCACCCACGGAGCTGCCTTTGGTGAATGGCAATGCCTCAAACTCCTCTCCAATGCAACCGACCTGCCTGTGCCCAGTAGCTATGAAATATCCCGCAAGGTTGGCTATTCCAAGTTGGAACTTGGGCTAAAAGCTCATGTCGACGAATCAGTGGATCCAGAGTCCCTGGCAATCTCCCTTCTCCAGCACCAGTTTGCCCTCCCTGCAACTTATGGAGGGGTGGGGCTGCAGACTGAGCAAGAAGAATGGGAAGAAGAAGCAGAAGAAGAAGAACCCCTCCGGGTGATCCTGCAACCCAGGCAAAAGCTGTACTGGTGGCATTACTGTCTGGGGTTGGGCAAGAAACCCATCCTGTACTGCCGGTCACTGAAGATCACCCGCAGTCCCTCACCCCCTACGCACATACCTTTGCCACAGGCTGATGTTTGAAGTCAGACTTCAGGACGGAAGCGTTTAACAGGGGCAGGAAGAAATAAATGTCTGTATATGAACCTCCTCTTCTCATGTCTTTCAGTTCAGTGTTATAGGTAGTCCTCATTGAATGACCACTTGTTCAGTGACTGTCTGAAGTTACAACGGCACTGAACGAAGGGGATTTACAACAGGTCCTCATAGTTGTGGCCATCACAGCTTCCCCAGGGTCACGTAATCATATTCAGGAGCTTGGCAACTGGCTCATAATTACATCGCAGCACCCCGCAGTCATGTGATCACCATTTGCGACCTTCACTGCCAACTTCTGACAAGCAAAGTCAATGGGAAAGCCTGCAGGAGGTCATAAATTGTGATCACGGGATGCAGCCACATGGGATTTGCCTAATGACGGCAACCGGGACTGCCACAACTGTCGTCATAAGTTGGTGTGGTCATGTGACATTGCACTTTACAACTGTATCACTTAGCGATGGAATTCCTGGTCCCAATTACCATCATTAAGTGAGGACTACCTGTATTCCAATTCAGAGAAAGTACGCCTCATAATGCTGGATTTTTCCCATGTAAAAACAACATGGGGTCCAACATTTGGGGAGGAATTCACAGGAGGGAGACATGGAAACTCCTGTTGCATCACCAATTTGATTTTCTCCATCTCAGAAAAGTTTCCATCTTGGAGATTGTTTACATGTCATCTTATGCTGTTACAGTCCTTTTAACGCCTAGCTTTACATCCTTAATGGAATTTATCTGACAACAATCAGTTGATATTTTGCTAACTTCTTAGGCTAGGGAGAGGACACGGAGTTGAAGACCACACATCTTAAAGGTGCCAAGTTTTGTAGGGGGCTGTAATGGGGTGAGGCTG